CTGAAAGAGGAAACAACACAGAGCAGAGAGGTCACGAAGGTTAAAGTGCAACTTTTCATTTCTAGAACAGTGATTATTGTGATGGGCTCCATCCAAAAACACTCAAAGAGAAGCATGAAACATATGAGTCCAGCAGAATTTCAGGACCGTGTCAGCGTAACCTTAAACAATTGTTGTTTTTTCCACAGCGTTATTATTTTAGTTTGATGTTTTGCGCTGGTTTTCATTTTAATTTGCTTTCAAATGGATAACACACGTTAACAATTTCCATACTCGTTTGCAGTCATGATTTAAATGTCATTAAAATAATGGTTATTTTGCTGGTTATTGGTATCAATGCGCTTTTGCCGATACAAAAACACATATTTATTTCCCAGGTCAGGTCTTTTACACTTTACAGTTGTGATTGTGTTGTTGTTTGGAGCTCGACACGTCACATTGATGTTCTGTCCAGACACAGCTGGAAACAGCACAGATCAGAGAGGTTAAAGGTTAAAATGCAACTAGTCTCTTGTACAGCAGCCAAGCAGAGTGAAGATCAGTGACTCTCTGTCACTCCTATCAAAGAGTCTCAGGGCAACATTAATACAAGAAAGATTTTTTTTGAGAACAACATCGAAATTTCCACATTAAAGTCCAAATTATATTTCAAGGTCCAAGGCTATCCATGACTCCACGCTGATGTTTTTTCCTCAAACTTGTTAATGGATAATACAAAGCAAAGCAGCACGTTCGGTACATGTTAGAGTCTCTGCGTGTTGTGGTAAACACGGACACACAGCGTGGGGAGGTCGTGTTTCAGCCCTGGTTATAGAGCTGGTGAGGAGAGTAAAGACGGCGGGGCCACAGCCTGGTTTGTGTGCTGTGGAGTCGGTCCTGTAGGGCGGACTGTACACAGTGCTGCGCGTTTGTGTAACGCTGGATTGTGCTGCAGAAGAGGCTGCAAGAGGTTAACTTTACTTTATGTTCAACGTGATAGTACGTGTTTAAAAAAAACTAATAACAAACATCGACAGGAAAAACATACTAAGAAGCTGCGACACCTCAATGTACAAAAATAGGAAAATACTTCCTAAACAATTCCCAAATCTGCCACAAGATGGCGATCCAGGACAAAGAATAAAAGCATTGCTGCTCAGCCATACCTCCACCGTGACTATGGTTGATTAACCACATCACACAGTAATGTTCAAAGTACTAATCAAATTTTATCCCTGCCCTTGGCTGTAATCCAGGGTTTCTGGATGGGGAGATAAACTTCACTACAGTGATGTTCTCAGCAGGTACTTGACGCCGTTAACGAGGTTCTGAGTCTGATCAGTGTTCCAGTTGTGAGTATGTTTTAGTACTTTTACTTGTTTTAGTACGAGTTTTAGTACTTCTTTAGTGGCTTGGTTGTTCTCCTGAGATAACGCGGTAAAGTGAGCTGTGATTTGTGCGCCGGGGTGAAGCCAGCCGACCTGTTACCCGCCGCGAACATTAAGCCTCGCGGTAGCGCTTCTCCTCCTTCGCTGATCGCTACGGAAGCACGACATCGTGTCGAAAAGTCAGTTTCGAGCTTTTTATTCTTAACTTTCTCCCGTAGCAGAGCACTGCACATGCTAATAGCATTATATTAATGCCAACTTCGGGTTTGCCTGATTAAAATCCCCTGTCATGTGAAAGTAATCCGGGACAGTCCGCTTTTTCTCCGCCACTCTTGTTTGCACCGACAGGCTAACTTTAGCGTGACGTGTCGCCTTGCTGTCGCTAGCTCGGTGGGTAGCTTTGTTTTGATTGAAGTGAATGTTTTCTGTTATGTGAGGTTTCAGCCGAAAAACGATGTCCATCATGTCTCGGTGGCTCTAACAGTGATCACTTAAACTACACACAAAT